ATTTCTAGAGTGACAACTCAAATTTCAATGTGGTTCCATCATGTTATCTTTTTTTTTTTTTTCTGGTTTTTTTTTTTTTTTTTTTCCTATAACACAGGTGTGTCTAACCTACAGGCCACAGTAGGACATATGTACCTGCCTGAAGATCTCCAAATATTAGGGTGAATATAGTAATGTTACTTTTGCCTAGTTGAATATTTCTATCCATGCATAGGTTCTGGAAATGCAGTTTACTCCACAGGCCCTAAGAGTAGATGACAGTGACTTGAGCTGGTGACCATAGCAGTTTCTTCTTGAAGATGATGGCACAGTCACTTTACAATGGGCCAGGACAACTTTTTTTTTTCTTTTTTTCTTTTTTGGGGCAGTGCTGGGGATTGAACCCTGGACACCTTTCAAGGAAATTGCATCATTGTGAGTTGCTGGAGAAGTGAGTGGTAACAGAAAGAATGTTTGGTGGTACAATGACACATCATTTTCTTACAGTCTGAAACCTGAGCACTGGTGTGAACACTTGCTGATCTGAATTACAGCTTAGTTAGGCTTTAAAACACTGTCAATTTAATAGTGTCTCACTATTAAAGACTCACTCAAATACCTAAAAAACCGTAACAGGTGCTGAGAGTTCTGTCATGCAAACAAATGTGAAAAAACTCAGCACTTCATCAGCAGACTACTTTCACTGTAGTTATTTTTTAATTATTTCAAGTTCAATATTTAGATTTTCTAGCCCCAGCTAACGAAAGAGAAGGCATAAAAATAAACACATACCTGAGAGAAAAAAATAGAAAAGCCACTCAAAGAGAAAAACCACCAGTGCATTATCACATGAAGCCCCAGGGCAGTGGCCAACACTCATTGTGATGAACTGCCACAGAGTGGGGCATTTTAGATAGGTAAAGCTTAAAAGTCTTGGTGTTCAAAGGAGCATTTCAGCTGATAGGAAAATTCATCTCTGTGTAATACCTTATTTGGTAACAATGCTATATATAAATGTTTTATGATAACCACACACTTTTCCTGTGAAGACATAGGACAATGTGTTTCCTGAGGCAGAGACTAGAGTTTGGAATAGGACTGTCAACAGACAAAACACAGGGGCTGGGGATGTAGCTCAGTGGTAGAGCACTTGCCTACCATGCACAAGGCCCTGAGTTCAACTCCCAGTACAAACACCAGAAACAAAACAAAACAGATAAAACACAAAGCCCAAGCCATATTAACCCTTCAATGCCTGGTGATCCATTTTTGGAATGCCCATAAAAATGGAACATAAAGAAATGTGTTCTCTTCAAATTCTTGTTCCTTGAAATTTTCTAGAGACAAGAAACAAAAATAAATTTCATGCAAAAATTCAAAATACTTCAATCTGGCATAAATGGGTTAAGAGTGACCACTAGAGTGGGCTGTTCTCTAGTTACACAGTTACTACCTAGGACTCACAGCAAGACTTCTTTCCTAATTTCAGTGAAGAGGTTAAAAAATGTTTAAAATGGTCTCATATCACCCTTTTACAAACAAAAATTTTAACATGTCTTTTCATAAAATAAATTGTAGCCAAATGTATAAATCTAGGTAAGAACTTTTCTCTCTTGAGCCCAACCAATGGAGCATGTTAATCAGGTCTTCCACGGCTGACTGATTTCAGATGTGTCTACAAAACAGGAGCCTCACCATGACATACTACAAAAGACTTATCATTTCCAATAACTGCCTGTTTATTTCACATCGATTCCATTTCCAGTCTATTACTATGTGAGAAACTGCAAAAGATGTTAAAATGATTAAATAAAAACAGAGAGAGGGGCTGGGGATTTAGCTCAGCGGCAAAAAGCGTCTGCCTGGCAAACGCAAGGTCGTGAGTTCGGTTCCCGGTACCGGAGAAAAACCAAAAAAAAAAAAAAAAAAAAAAGTAATTTTAAAACAGAGAGAAAACCAGTATCATTTACTAATAGTTAAAAGAATATGTCATCAATAAGTAAGAAGGTAGGAAAACTCAAATTCTTTATCTTCTACACACAAGAATGTACAATTTACAAAGAATAGTGCCATCACATTTATTTTATAGAAAAAATTATAATTTGGCACCAGCACCTATTTAATTCTTTTTGGTTTTAAGTGTCACAGAATTGTGCTTATGAGTCAGCTGAATTTGTTAGCTTGGACTATTATAACCTTTAAAAGCTTAAATTCAATAACTACTGTAAATAATCTCATATGACTCTCAGTACTTAATCTAGGTATATTTTTTAAAGGCCTGAAATCCTTGAATTTATTATACCTATCATAACCTATCCAAAAAGAGGATTTGACCAGATCTATTCCCTTTCATGGTAAGAACCACTCAGTAAACTGAGAACACAAGAAAACTTCAACATGAGAAAAGATATCCAGAGCCAGTAACACAAATTAAGGATACAAAATCAACACAGAGAAATCATTTCTATGTATTAGAATGAATACTTACAAAGAAAACTAAGAATATTCCATTCACAATGTCATGTAAAAATAAACTTAACCAAGGCAGTCAAAAAGCTGAATGCCAAAAGCTATAAAATATTGCTGAAACAAACTAAAGGAGACCTAAATATATAGGAAAATGCCCCGTAAACATGTCGTGGGAGATTTATTAATATTGTTAAAAAGAGAACACTTCTCAAAGTGACACATAAATTCAATGCAAACTACCAAAATCCCAATGGCATTTTAGGCAAAAATGGAAAAAACCACCAGCTAACACTCATGAAAATTTAAGGGTACCACAATAACCAAAACAATCTTGAATGAGAACAAAGCTGGAGTCATACTTCTTGATTTCAAAATCTACACAAAACCACAGTAATCAAAGCACTATGGTGGCATAAAAATAGTCATAAGCTGAGGGAGACCACTGTGAAGCAGCTCTGAGCAGGACTTCTATTAACCAATTGGGTTTCCATGTTTACTTGTGAGTCACTGGTCCCTTCTGAGGCCTGGGGTGAAGCCATGAGGCCTCAAAGGACAAGACAAGGCCACAGCTGAGTACTTTTGGCTCCAATCCCAATTAACTAATAGGATCCTGACTGTAGCTGCAGGTACCTCATTCCTGCAGTGAAGGCCTTCCTGAACTTAACTTAGTTCTCCTAAAATAACCTAAGTATTACTTGGAGAATTCCATAAACGGTTTCCCAACTTCTGCCCAGATTCTTGCATTTTCTTCAGTATCCCCCTCCTTTATTTGAAAACCTAGTAAATACAGGCAGCCCAGGGAAGTCTTGGTCTTACCCCAGAGAATCTTAAATTCTGTGAGAGGGTTGGACCCCCCTGGAGCCCTAAAATCATTTCAGTTGTCTCATTTATTTAAGCCTTTGCCCACTCCTTTGGGAGATTAACTGGTAATAAGCCAACAGAATGTAATTCAGAGCCCTAAAGTAAACCCTCAAGTTTTTGGTCAATTGATTTCTAAAGGGTGCGCCAAGACTATTTAAAGAGGGAAAGGACAGTCTTTTCAACAAGTGATGCTGGGAAAACTAAACACCCATTTGCAAAGGAATTAAGTTGGACCCTTACCTATTATCATACACAAACATTAATTCAAAATGGATGAAAGACCTAACCTTGTAATTTTAGATGAAAAGCTACATGAAAATCTACTTGACCTTGGATTTTGCAATGGTTTCTGACTAAATGTAACACCAAAGGCATAAGCAATAAAATGAAAAATAGACCGAAGAAACTCATTAAAAGAATACAAAGGCAATTCACACAATGGGAACAAAACCTGTATCTGAAAAGGGGTTAATAGTTAACACATATAAGAAAACTCTTACAACTCAATAACAACAAAAGAAGATAACCCAATTTAAAATTAGTCAACGCACTGAATAAGTATTTCTCCAAAGATATAAAAATAAGAACCAGATGAAAAGATGCTCAACATCACTAGTTACTAAGTTTACTAAATAAAAACTAATGGGAACTAACAAGTATTGGTAAGGGTGTGAAAAAACTAGAGCCCATGTGCAGTGCTGGTGGAATGTAATTGGGTACAGCTGGTCTGGAAAAATGGCAATTCCTCAATAAAGTACAAAAGTATACTATGACCCAGAAAGGCAATTCTTAGGTATATACCCCAAGAAACTGAAAACAGACTCAGATTTGTCACAGCAACCCAAGTATCTGTTAGCTGATGAGTGGATAAACAAAATGTGCCCTCTCTGAATATAATGGAATACTACTCAACTATAGAAAGGAATGAAGTCCTGATGAATGCTACAACATAGATAAACCTTGAAAATATTATTCGAAGTAAATAAGCCATACACAAAAAGAAATGTATCCTACGAACCCACTTATATGAAATATACAGAGCACACAAAATTTTAGAGAAAAAAGTAGCTTACATTATTACCCTGGGGTAAAGGGAGAAGTGGAGAGTTACTGCTAAATGGATAGTTTTGTTTCAGGTGATGAAAAAATTTGGGAAATGCAGTGGTGGTACAACATTGTTAATATATGGCCAGGCGTGGTGGCACACACCCATAATCCCAGCACTCGGGAGGCTGAGGCAAGAGGATTGCTGTGAGTTTGGAGCCAGCCTGGGCTACAATGTGAGTTCAAGGCCAGCATGAACTGCATAGGAAAACCTTGTCTCAAAAAGACCAAAAAAAAAAAAAAAAAGTTAACGATTAATGTCGCTCAGCTCTGCTCTTACAAATGGTTAAGAGGTATTTTGTATTTTTATGCATGTGTGTGTTTTCATTAGATTTAATTCTTGGAATAATTTTAGGGTTATACGAAAACTAAACAGAAAATGGGGAATGCTGGGGAGTCTGTTGGAAGCACAGAATTCCCATACTTCCTCTACCTTTTTCATCCCTTGTTGTTAATATCCTGCACTGATGTAATTGCAAAGTCCACAGTTTATGTTACATACATTTGATTACAATAAACAGAAAAACAACTAAATGGATAAGAGCGTGTCAAAGAGTCAAACTGAAACAGCTCCCAACAGCCAGAGCTGAACAATTTAAGCCACAAAATAAGTAACACTGTATAGGTTTATAACTCAAAATATGATGTAAGTGCGCACGAGTCCATGCTCATAAACCACTGAATACCTAAGTGGGAGAGAGGACACAGATCTTCAAGAAGGAATACAATGGATATTGCCCCCACAGGAGCTGAGATCTAACCTCCTTGCCCCACAGAATTCAGAAAGGAGAAGACAGCAACTTGACAGCAGAACCTGGCAGATAGTGTCACCATGACCAAGCAATCCAGGTTAGTATCACCTGTGGTAAGAAATGTGCTTCACCTCTATGGCATTTAACCAAACTCATCTACAGACCACCTGACAAGCCCTCCTCCAAACTTTCCAGGTCATTAAGAACAAGCTAAGTCTGATCATGGTTTTTTTTTTGTTGTTTGTTTTCCGGTACTGGGAATCCAACTCACAACCTTGCGCTTGCCAGGCAGGCGCTGTGCCGCTGAGCTAAATCCCCACCCCTGAACAAGGTAAGTCTGAGACATCACCCCAGCCAAGCTTGTAAGTAGGTGTGATGAATGAACATGGGCAGAATGCTGGGTCAGAACAAGAACCAAAGGGCATGCTGGGCTTAGGTGAAAGCAATGTGCCACCATCGTTAACAAGGGGGACACTGGTGAGGGATGTGTGGAAGCTCTCTACCATCTTGGCAACTCTTCTGGAAAGTAAAATTTGTCCAAAGTAAAAGTTTATTGAAAAAGAGAGAAGACATAATGGGTGGTTTACCTTTTTTATTCCACTAGGTAAAACTATTTTGTAGTTCAGAGACTCAGAACATCTGCTGCAAGGTGTGCTATCCAGTCTCTCAAGGCAGCCTCTGGTCCTAAACACAGAGATGAAGTATGGGTTTATGTTTGAAAGTGGGAAATTCTTAAACATGGCAAGTGCAGCAGGGAATACTGACCTACACCAGCACAGACTGGCCCAGGACCACTGTCTGTAGTCACGTGCTGTGGTCTGACATTGATGTCTCTAACATCATGTCACTTTCATTCATTTCAATTTCAAAGGTTTCTTCCAAGGAAGGCCTGGAATCTGGAGTTTTCCTGGAGTTTTCCAATGGTGCAAGTCCTGTTTCTTCTGCAGTCTGTTTTTCTACTTCAAATTCCCTGAAATCCCACGGAGGTGAAATAATGTTTTTTAGTGTCTTCATTGTATGCACATCAAAGTCATAACATTTTAATTTGTCTTTAATGTCTGCTCCTAAAAAGAAACACCATAATTAGAATAAATTCTATAATTGGTCTTTTCTTTCCATCATTATATACAATGCTCTTACATATAAATCCAACTGAACTTTAAGGGTATGGATCAGAATGTTAAAAGTCCCAATAGTTTCCTTCTTATTTTTCACTTTGGAAGCCTTTGGAAGCACTTGCGGTTGTGGCTCCCATGTGGTTGCTGAGCCATCTGTTCCCAAATTCCATTAAATACTGGTGAAGCCTGTGCGCAAAATTCTTCTCTGCTGTTACAAAAACTGTCTGTAATATGCCTGTTGGGAATACTCACTGATCTTACATTCATGGGAATGACAGGAGGGGTTTCCACATGTCAAGCCCTTAAGAATGTGTATCTGGACACGTCTGACCAGATGTGTTAGGTTCAGTAATTTATGACATAAAAAACTGACAATTCTAAATAGTTCAAACTAATAGTTTTCAGGATTAG